AGAAATCAAAGCTTGTAAGCCATTTTTAAGAGATTCAGGAATTTATTAAGAAATATGAAGTTTTTTATCCTGCTCGATGTTTAAAATAGTTTGTACTTTTCCCCCCAAATGCCTTAAAACAATAATGCCACTTTTAATTAAATGCAACCCATTAGATAACTGGAAATTAAACAGATTTGTGTAGCAGTTAAAAACCACTTTTAGGTGTGAAATAAAAGCATTATGTTCATGTATTGATGCCTAATAAAAGGATTTTTCCCTCTATAGAACATTGAAATATTTAATTGGGTTGAACAGACAGAAATAGTGTAGTTTAAGTTTTTCATGACATTGGATTCTGTTAGATGTTTGCATTTTTGTTGTTTGCATTTTGATTTCTTAGCTTTTCCTTTTGGCCTTTAAAAAAATGACATGGAAACACTACTTTTTGCTTTTAATTATTTTCATTTTCTCAGCGCATTTGTTTGCTGTTCTGATATCTCATAGTTGTGTTGATTTGCATCTCTCTTAGAGCTAGGGATTTTGAATATTTCATGTGTTTTGTTTGGCCATCTGAATGTCTTTGGTGAAGGGTCTATTCATATCAATTTTTCAATTGGATTGTTTACCTTTATTTTGTTAACAGTGGAATATTAAAAATTATACTCAAACAAATATGAAAACCTAGAGGAAATGGACATACCTAGAAAAATACCCTACCAAACCAAAGTTGAACACCTGAACAGAACCATTAGAAAAGAAATTGAAAAGGTAATTAAACAGCTTCCAGCCCAAAAATCCCTGGACCAGATGGTTTTACAAGTAAATTTTATCACATATTCAGAGAACTGTCACCAATTCTAGATAAACTATTTCAAAAAATAGAAAAATATGGAATTCTCCCAGACTCTATGAAGCAAACATATCCTTGATACCAAAACCAGGTAAAGACACCACCAAAATGGAAAATTATAGGATAAAATCTCTCATGAACATAGATGCAAAAATCCTGTCCAATAGAATCCAATGATACATCAAATCAATACACCATGACCAAGCGGGATTCATAACAGGTATGCAAGGATGGTTCAACATAAAAAAAAACAATCAGTGCAATTCATCATATTAACAAAGTGTAAAACAAGAACCACATGATCCTGTCAATTGATGAAGAAAATGTCTGTGACAAAATCCAACATGCTTTCCTGATTAAAACACTCAACAGAATAAGATTAGAGGGGAATTTCCTCAACACAGGAAAAAGTATATATGCTAATGTTCTCAATGGAGAGAAGTTTAAGGTGTTCCTCTTGAGAACAGAAACTTGAAGGGATGCCTACTATCACATCTATTTAATACTGTATTAGAACTCTTAGCGGTAGCAGTAAGACAAGAGAAGGAAATAAGAGGCAAATTGGCAAAGAGGAGGTAAAATTATCTCTGTATGCAGAAGATGTGACAGTATACTTAGAAAACATCATTGCTGATGTCATCTGGATCTTGTTTCAAAGTAGAGAACACTAGAAAGATGTTTACTTGTATTTTGTTGGCTACACAAAGGCATTTGATTTGTGTAGATCAGAGTAAATTATAGATAATTCTGCAAAGAACAAACTCTGTAACATTTAATTGTACTCATACAAAATCTGTACATAGATGAAACAGAACAAGGGGATATTGTTTTATTCTAAATCAAGAGCTGTATGTCAAAGCTGTGTCCTTTTGCCATACTCTTTCAGTCTTTCATGACATAGACTGTAGGACATTGCCAATTCAAATCCACCAGCTGCTTCTCAGGAGACAAGTGCACATTCTCCGTCTGTCATTTACAACCACCAAAAACCTGCTGGAGGATAGCGATGAGTTGGTCCCAACACCAAAGCAATGAGTTTGCATTTTATTCAGTCTGTATGTTGAGCCAAATGGTCAGATAATCTGGAATACCTGAAAAAGGAAGACTCATTAACCTGCAATATGCACAACCTTGCTTACTGAAAGTGCAGAGGCCTTGAAGCATTGTGGACATGCAAAGATGACAGCCTTTAGTGTAGATTACACCTCAAGGCAAAGAAAACAAAAGCTTCACAGCTAGACCTTCACAGCTAGACCTAGAAGCTTCACACCTAGAAACAGCATCATGGTCAATGGAGAAAAGATTGATGGCAAAGATTTCAGATAATTATTGCAAACACTGTGTTGTATCAAGAAAACCTGCAAAAGCCCCCTTGAAAGTATTAATAAAGCAAAGATGCCATTTTGAGGTCTGAGCTGCACCTGATCCAAACCAAAGTATTTTTAGTTGCCTGATATGGGCTGACACAGCAATGGGCTCGAGCGTATCAGATGGTGAGGGTAGATAGAACAGGGGTCAGATCTGTTATTCATAGGATTACTGCGCGTTGTACTCAATATATCACAACAACATATGTTACGTAGTCCATAGGGAAATTGTGGTGCTAATGTAAAGATACCATTGATGCATTCTCCAGTTTCTGTTCTTTTAGCTTGCAGCCTTTCTTCAACCCTCCATTCTCAGTCGAAGGCAAACTGATAGTGTGTTCTGTAAGAATTTGTGCTGCTAACCTGAAGATCACCTCTGGTGGTTCAAATGCACCAGTAGCTCTTCTTGAAGGATAGGCAATCGCAGTTAGGACTTGGAAACCTGGCGGAAGGTCAGCTAAGAGTGAGTTCAAACTCATGGACAGTGAGTGAGTAATGAGAGCAAATGTCTATGAAAGTTAGACAATGACCAAAGAGGGAAGAATTGTGTTGATGAATTATGATGTTGGCAAGAATATTGAATATAGCATGGACTGCCAAAAGAAAGTAAATCTGTCTTGGAAGAAATACAGCCAGCATGTTCCTTAGAAAGGAGAGTGCCGTGACTTCATCTTACGTACTTTAGATGTATTATCAGGAGTCTATGAAGAACGTCATGCTGGATATGTAGATGATCCTTGAAAACACACCCCCCGCCCCTTAACTGGGATTGATTGACAGAGTGACTACAACAATGGGCTCCAGTAGTACAGCAACGATCATGGGGATGACACAGGACTGCAGTGTGTGTCATTCTTTTGTCTATAGGATCACTACGAGGCAGAACATTTTTTCTTCAAAAAAGACAGTTAAATTTAATGGCAGTTTGTTGAAAGATGAAAACAATGATGAGCAGAATAAAAGTATGAAAAACATAAGACTATTTTATTTAATGGGAGACTGCCCATTGTCTTCTGCACATGACTTGTGGATTTGAACCACCAGAGACTCTTAGCCTTTGAGTTCACAGTTTAACTTGCCACAAGAGCTCTCTTTAAGAATGTGTAGTATTCTAATAAAATTCTTTAAGAATTTGCAACCACTGACTTTTCTATGATGCATTAATAGATGGAGAACCTGGAGGGAATGCTGCATTGTCATTCGTTGTAAATTGAGTCATTAAAGTGCTTGATGTAGTCTTAACTGAAAACAGGTTAAGGTGACCAGTACACTTTTGAAAAACAATAGGACATAGGTGAAGGACATAAAAATAGTAAAGGGGCTTTTTGCATTATGGAACTATAACATCCATGAAAATGTTGTTGGGTGCCACCTAGGCGGTAGTTTTATAGCAACCTAGTGCACAGCACAATGAAAAATTGTTCATTCCTGTACCATCCACATAAATGCATTTACCATTGAGCCCCTTATTGCAGCCACTGTGTTTACCCCTCTCCTTGACGGTCTTCCTCCTCTTTTTCTGCCTACCCTCTACTTAATCATCCTGTCCTTCATAGACTAGTGTCTTCAGATAACATGTCCAAAGTACATGAGAGGAAATCATCCCATCCTTGTTTCTTTTTTTTTTTTAATTTCTTTTTATTTTGTGTGTGTGTGTGCGCGCGCGCGTACCATCAAATTGGATCTGACTGGTACAGGAGGAGATTGTCCCTCCTTTCCCGGCAGAGCACCATCCTTGTTTCTAAGGAGCATTCTGGTTGTACTTCTACGACACCTTTGTCTCATAGTATATTTAATATTCTTTGCAAATATCATGATTCAGAGTCATTAATTCTATCATTTTCTACCTTCCACATGCACATGAAGTGGTGCCATGGAAAACGCCATGGGTTGGGTTGGATGTACCTCAGTTCTCAAAATGACATCTTTATTTTTAAATACATAATAGCAGACCGTTCCTAGATTACGAATAATGTCTCTTCCTCAGTTTCAATTTTTAAGTATCGTGACTATTAGTCAAGATCTTACACTCATTCCTTTTATTACCATGTTAAGAGTACATGTATGTAAGATTACATTAATTTTCTTTTCATTTTAATAAGATGGAATTTTTATCACTTAAAATTTACAACATAATCTTCCTAATATTATGAAACATCCATTTGCATTAAAATAAGTTCTATGTATTTGAGGAGTTTGCAGCTGTATAACATGTTGTGAGGTTGTAAATATTTTAGGTGCCGTTGAATTGCAACTCAGGTTGTCTTAAGAACCCCATCCTGTCCTATGCCACCGTCAACAGTTCTGGCACACTTGCATCCATTGCTGTGGTCACTGTCAGTCCATGTGGTTGAATCATCTATTTTGCTGGCCCTGTACCTTTCCAAGCATGATGTCCTTTCCAAGAAATACTCTTTCATAACAATATGCCTAAAATATTTAAGAAGCTTTGCCATTAGGGAGCACTCTGGCTGTACTTTTAAGACATATCTCTGTTATCTTAGAGTTGTCCATCAGGTAGATACTGAGAACACCTCTTGAACACATCAATTCTTCTATTTATCATCAGTGATTTCTAGAAGTGTTTTTGGAGCAGCCTGCGCTTGAATTATCACCACTGGAATTACGGAAAAACTATTGTGGTAGCTCTGTATTATGCTGATTTTGTCATATGATTACTTAATATTATCTTTGACGAAACTTCAGATTGAATGAAAAGAGTGGGAAGGATAGTGTTATGAAATGATCTCTCCTTTTAATTGCCACATCTTAATTTTTGTTTTGTTTGTTTTTTCTTCTAGAAGAAAAATTCGAAGTGGAAACAAAGACCATTGCTGTTGACTTTGCATCAGAAGATATTTATGACAAAATCAGTGCTGGCTTGGCAGGTCTTGAAATTGGTGTTTTAGGTTTGTATTTTTACCATTTTTATAGATTTTCTTTGTGTTTGTGATTGCCTTTTATTCTGACTTTCCTGTTTCCTTTTTGAATGTTAGATACTCACTTAGTGAAATGACTACTGTTTTTTGATGTCGAGTTAAGCACAACTCATAGTGACCTTATGAACAAACCGGCCTGAGTCTCTTGCATTTTCAGAGGCTGTAAATTGCATCGGAGGAGAGTGTTCATCTTTCTCTTACAGAGCAGCTGGTGGATTTGAATCACTGGGCCTTGGAACACAGTTCCTTACCCCCTAGGTCACCAGAGCTCCTTTCTAGTTTTAGGACACATCAGCCACTTCCCTTTCCTTGCTTTTTTGTTGTCTGACTGAGTCAATTGTACTAAGACAAGTAAACCTATTGCTATTGAGTCCATCGTCACTGCTGGTGACCCTCCATGGCATCTTTGAGGCTGTAGATCTTTACAGGGGGAAATTGTGCCTCTTTCCCTAAGGAGCACGTGCTGGATTTGAACCGATGAGCTTTCTGGTAGCCACCAGCGCACCTTTCTCAGGTGGAAGAATTGCTAACCACCAATTGCTGAACTGATAGGAGGAAACCAGTAAGGTATTCCACAATGAAACATTGGTTGGTGGTGACTTATTGTCATTGGAGATGCATAGAAGTGTCTAGAGAGAAATTTAGGAAGTAGGAATAGGACCAAGTTCTTGTTAACCTCGTCACTGTCCAGCTTTCTGATGCATAGCATGTAACTGAAGACAATGGCTTGGATCAGGCACACCTTAGTCTCCAGACTGACATTGTTGCTCTTCAGTACTCTGGAGCAATCCCTAACAACAGACTTTCCCAGTGTAATGTCTTTTAGATTAGTAGCTGTTTTCACCACCCATGGACTCTCCAGGGTCCCACCAACTAGTAATTAGCTGTGTGACGTTTGGTGCTCGTTCCCTTAGACAAGGAATCTTGGTTCAAGAACAATTTCTATAGAGAAATTATTGCACTTCAGGATATGTTACTTTGAAAGGATTATGAGATTCTCTCAGTGCCCAATGCTTTTCATTGGTGGTTGGAAACCTCCTTTGTATGGAATGAGGTAGAAGACGGCTGGGGTAGCTGTTCATGACAAGCAGACTAGCATCATGGACTTTGTTTATTGTAAAGTAGAAAACTCATCAGAAGCATCATCAGACTAAGTATAGGGCCTCATAGTTCCATTAGATGCGTTGACTGAGATTGGATTTCTAAAGTGAGCATAAGACTTTTAAAATTCTAATGTATTTTCTTTCACTCGTAAACCACTAATAGTATTAATTAAAGCAGAACCTTTAACTTAAAACTGGGTAATTAGCTGTGATTTCAGAAATGTAAATAGAACCATAATTCATGAAATTGCTAAATGTTCTTCCCATTAGGAGGATTTAACTGCCAACCGCCTGGCACCCTCCCTTTCCTCATGCCTGTCTTCCAAGTTTCTGTATGGCAAGTTTTATCTAGCTTTGTAATGAGGCCTACACAGCAATTTATAATTAAACAGTGGAAATGGAATGTTCTATTGTGTAGTTCCTGACGCCGTCTCAATTTTCAATTTCTGATTAAAGGCACTGCAAATGTAAAGCCTTGTAAACTTTCTTTTATTTAGAAATTGCCTCTCACAAGTGTATGAAAACTGTAAAGTTGGCAAAATGTTTTACACAGTTTTCCAAATATCATCTGTCAGAGTATGAACATGTGCTAGCGACAGCAATATGTTAAATAAGGCAAAGAAGGAATTTTTCTTTGCATCCTTTCCCAAACTCTATAGACTGTAAGACAAGATTGACTTGCAGGAAATAGTGTAGTGGAGCAATTAAGATGAATTGAACTCATGGAAACAGCTCCTTTGGTTAGCAGCTGCCCTGACCTCAGTTGTTATCCTCATGGTGTGTATAACGCAGAATCTGAGATTTTCTGGGTGGAGTCTCTTGCTGTTTCCTAGAAGTAGAACCAGAAGGGAAACAGAATTCTTTTGAACTCTGAGGTCCATACTCTTTTATTGCAAAAACTAAAGACAGGAGGCCTTCTTCCCCAACATTTGTATCTACATTCTTAGGGAGGTCTACATTAAACAAATTCTCATTCTTTTGAAAGATAACAGCATGGTAATGATTTTTGCTGTTGAGCTTTGTTAATGAACTCTCATATGCTTTTTGTTTCTCCAGTTTTTGAGTGCTGGACTAGATTAGGGCATCTGACTACAAATGGGACAGGAATGTAAACTTGACATTTTCTAGTTTGTTGTAACTAAGAGGAAAGAGCGCTGAGTTATCCTGTTATTTTAATAACACTGGAAGCTTACTCCTAGGACCTGTCTTTGGAAGTGAGCTAATTTTTTGTTTCTGATTCACCTGGAACAAGGAGCAGGCTAAAGTCCATCTATGTGCGGTTATCTGTATTCGTATATTTGTGGATGCCTCAATAGATCCGCCCCGCCCCCCAGCAGTTTATTTTCTTTGCTGCTTCTTCAGGTCCAGCCCAGATAACAAAAATCTAATTCTCTAATGACATTATCTCTATAGCAGCTGCTTTTGAGAGAGGGTTCTAAATCCAGTGAGGTCAGCAGGAGCAGCAAACGAATTTAAGACAGCACATTCTACATGTGTATGTTCTTTTGTATAAAATGTGATGAAATTTTTTTATAAGAACGTATGTAATTTAGAATTTCTGTAATGCTGAAGATGGCTCTGTGCATATTCTGTTGTTGTCATGTCCCAGTGAGTCAGAACCCACTCCTAGGTAATGCTCCAGCGGGTTTTCAGAGGCTGTAAATCACCCGGGAGGAGAATGCACATCTTTCTCCCATGTAGCAGCTAGTGGATTTGAACAACCACATGGCATACAACTCCTTACCACTACTAAGCCACCCGAGCTCTCTGCATATTCTGGGGTCATTCAAATCCAACTTAAAAAAAAAATTCATTGTTGCACATTCTCTTGCTCACCCCTCCCCTAGCCCACTCCACAATGTTCCCCTTGTTCCAGATTGTTGTCATACATACAATGGCTACTCATAAATTCCTTTTGGACAGTTCTTCCCCTCATCTTTTCTAATACAATGCTTACTATCTATGCACTATTTTCCTATTCTTCCCAACCCGCATGTCTGCCCTATTTTATAACACCAGTGTTATGCAGTATTTGTCCTTTTGTGACTGAGATACTTCTCTCAACATAATGTTCTCCTGGCTTCCCCATGTTGTGTGATGTGTGAATGCACCATAGATTTTCTTACTATCCATTTGTTAACAGGCACTTGGATTGCGTCCATCTCTTTGCTATTGTGAACAGCAATAAACATGAGTGTGCAACAACACTAATTTTTAAAGCTTGCATGGGAAGCCTGTTGAACAGAGCCACTCACTGAGCCCCCGCCCACTGAGGCCTTCCCTCCTAGGGTTCATTGATTAGAACATCTCTGCCCACCCCACCCTTTTTTCATTTCTGGTCTCTGTAGCAGCCCCATCTCTTTTGTGGTGTTCTTACCAATCTTAGAATCAAGTGAAAAGCTGAGAAAGGTTTTATTACCATGCATGGTCCTGTAGGGTGTGTTGGCACAGTGGTGGTAGCTAGATGGGCATCCCATGTTTTCCAAGAGAAGTTACGCTCAGTTACACAAGTAAAGGGATTTTTTTTAAGTCACGGAATAAAATGACTTAAACTGTCTCTCATGCCTCCCTTTAAATATTGCAGAGAATTCACTAGTGAACAGATTTTAAATGCTAATCTAAAAATGTCGCCCTTCTAAAGGGATTTCAACCATCTGAAGTAATGTGAGAACAACTGGTACTATTGTTTGATTTGGTGAATCCTGTAATGAATTCCATAATATATAGAGTGGCATTGCATACACCCACTCTTAATGAGATTAAGAATGAAAATATTTCTATCATCACTCTTAGCCAAAGCCTATTTTCCCTTTTTTACAGTTCCCAGAGCTTTCTCGCAGCTCTTTGGTTACTGCTGCCACCTAATGTCTCAAAGTAAAATGACAGTGGGTTCACCTTTTCTGAAAGAGCTGTACTGTATTTCCCGTTTATGGAAATAGCTATTAGAAAAGAGTGGTGGTTTTTCTCTATACTCATGAATAGCACTTTGAAGTGATCTCTTATTAGAGGGAGTTGATGGGTAGCAAATGGGAAACTAATAAAGATCTTTTAAATAAAGTCCTGAAAAGAACACATGTGATTTAACGGCAACTCATAGCCAACCTATGAACAGCTCTGAACTTTGCCCTCTCCTAAGTCAACTTCCCATCTCCAACACACCTGACCCCATTGCCACAGTCACTGGGTCAATTCATCTCCTCCGGGGCCTTCCTTTCCTGTGCTAACCCTACACCCTTCCAAGCATGATCTTCTTCTCCAAGGACTGACTCTTGAAAACATACCCAAAGTATATGAGACAGGAGTTTCAAAAAACCTGGTTTTACCCTCTCCTGGACAGACCTGTTTGTCCTCTTATCTGTCTGGTATGTTCAGGACTGTTCTCTAGAACCACAGCTGTTCTAGGCATCGGTTCTTCTGTCATCCTTGGATATTGTCCAGCTCTCAGATACATAGCAATAATCATGAGAAAATCATGGCTGCGATCAGGTGCACCTTAGTCTTTAGACTACTGTTATTGCTCTTTAGCACTCTGGAGAGATCCTTGACTGTAGATTTTCCCCGTATGACTCATCTTTTGATTTCCTGACTGTTGGTGCCAAGGGTGTTGATTGTGAATCTGAGAGAGATGAAGTAATTAACGATGGCCTACTGTAAGATAAATTGCTAGTGTGACCTAGGCATGTACTTAGCTTCATAGAACTGAAAGATCTACCCTAGTTTTAACATTTTTTCTTTTCCCTGTGTATGTATTTTGGTTTTAAAATATTGTTTTAAAGTGATTGTATTAGTTTTGTTTTTTGGGTTTTTTTAACTGCAGTTCTCAGTGTGAAATGTGTTCTTCCTTGACTCGACTTTGGACTCGGGGTCCGTGTTAAGTTTATGGTGTCAACTTGGCTGCTGTTCATTTTGAACCAAAACCTGAATTTAAAAATATTTATAATTGTGTTCTTTAGCATTCTAGACCACAGCTTTAATATTTCCATGGGTTAGAAAGAAATTTGATACACAAGTACCTTAGAGATGAAACATGGGGCGAGAGATACTGTCAAGTGGTAACTGACCCATAACGGGCCCTCCAGTGGGTTTTCAGAGGCAGTTAATATCCTCGTGGAGCAGCTGTGGGTCTGAACCAAGTACCTTTGGGTTGATAGCACAATTCCTTACCATTAAGGCACCAGAGCTACCTTGATATAGAAGAATTTTTCTTCTTGAATCTCTACTTTGGCAAAAGATTTACTCTGAAGCTATTCTCTCGCACTGACTTTGGAAAGAATACTTTTTGTAGTAGGGAATAGTTTACATTTTTACAGATGCTTGAAATGTTGCTAGTTCTCACACTTAAATTAAAATTATTCCTTTCTAGTTCTGTAAATGGTTGAAGCAAAGTCACGTGAACATAAAGCCTCACCTTCAGCTGGTTTTGTCTTAATTGTTGACAGATCTTTTTTAGCACCAATTCCTAGGCCTCCTGGTGGGTGAAGAATCTATTTAACGGGATAAAAATGGACTGAGACCTGCTGTTATTAATTATGTTTAGATACTGTCCCTATTCAGATGGTCATGAATCCTAATTAAATACTGTTTTAATTACAGATTTTCAGACAGGTTTCAGTGATCTTGTTCAAGTCATCTTGACCGAATTTTGCAGATAGTCTTGAGAATCTCAGCCACAAATGACTGGATTATGGCTAAACATAGAAGCTTTAATTGAATTCTTTTGAGCTATTACTTTTGTTAGCCGATTGAAAAAGTTACTATTACTATCAGGTTTACAATTTCTTAGAAGCTTTAGCCGGCTGATCATAATTTCAGTGTCTTTTGCTACCAAAATTTATCTTTTCTAGTGCTTTACAGTTTTATTAAACAATGCTATCAGATTTGTTTGTTATCCAATTATTATGTTTTTCTGAATCACATGCTGATTGAAAGCCTAAACTCTCACGTTTCTAGGCCTTGAATCCCAGCCTCACTTTGCTCTGTGACCTAGGAAAATTTATTTCATCTCCACAGATTTACAATTTGTAAAAGATGATAACTACCTAATGGGATTATTGTGATAATAAACATAATGTGTCTGTGAGATATATACATATATATTGCCTCTGGAAATGAACTTTGAGAAATGTCGATAGTTGTAGAGGGGCCTCAGGCCTTCCGTGTGTGTTCACATTAGTGGTAAGGAATTCTACTACCAACCCAAAGGCAAACTTCAAATCTACCAGCTGGATTGGCCCTATCTCTCTGTGTAATTTGTAGGCTCTGAAAACCCACTGGAGAGTCAAGTATGAGTGAGTCCTGACTTGAACACAAATGACCACCACCACCTCTGTGTGTGTGTGTACATGTACAGTTTATAATAATCCATGACATCTAATAAAACTTCGATAAATGTTGGCTTTTACTGTGGACTATAAATTCCATAATTAAGAAGCAGTAGAAAAACTTAATAAAGATCCATTAATAAATCAACTTGAATTTATAAGAGTGTGGGTGACCTACAGATGTCAGGGAAATCCCAGACCATGATTTGTTAAGATATCCAAGCTTGCATTCCAAGCTGTTTTTTAATTTTTTAATTTTAATTTTTTTTATTCTGGCTCTGCCTTGGGTTGTCATCGCAGAGAACCTCGGAAATCTGCGTACCGAAATAATATGTCTAATTACATATTCATACCTTCCATTTGCAAATTTGGATTTGTATGGTCTTGTCTCGTGTATGACTGACCCCTGCCTTTCAGCACCAGGGCTGGCGTGGGGTGGGGGTGGGGATGGTATCAGGGAACTTTTAGAGAACCGCACCCTGTTGGCCTCCACAAAGCAGCCACCTCTTGTTTCTCACTGGGGCAGGCTCTCCGGAACACGCCCTCTAGGCATCCTGTCCCTTAAAAGGAGAAAATTATTCCGTTCTTGTTCTCTTTTTACAGATTTTATGCTACATAACACTAGAAATGGTTTTTCTTTCCGATTTTTTCTAGTCTTAGCACCACTTCTTGCCTATAAACCAGAAAAACCACAACCTGTTGCAGTCAAGTAACTTCTGACTCATGTCGCTGTGGTTTTAAGCGCCGTCAAGTCAGCGAACACTCTAGTAACTGTAGGAAAGATCATCGGACCCTGTGCCATCTTCATCTGATATACGCAAGCCCATTTGTTATATCTGACTCCGTAAAAACACACTGAACCCTGAAATCTCTGAACTGTCGGCTGTAAATAAATCTCTGTGCCCGCAGAATGCTTGTCCTTTTCCCCGTCAGAGCCGCTGGAGGATTAGAACTACTGAGTTTTCCCTCTCACTTTGTAGATGTCTGATGTACATGTCTGATTTATCCCAGACATACAGTTATAACTAAAATTAGTTTCCTAATCTTTGCATTTTTTTTGCTCTATTACATCATAGAATTTTTAAAAATCCAGACAAGGATTGTATATTATCTACCAGTAACTGTATGTAAATACAGAATACCCATGTTCCAGGAGACTGAAAATTGAGAAGCAACCCAGAGTCCCTTTTTCAAGGGTTAGGTATATACTGTGGAAAGGATTAACAAAGGGGACATTTGATTTGGACTTTTAGACATGGGTAGAAAACAGTGGAAAATGTCACTCTCCAAGCCATGAACCATACTTTATGTAATTATATATAATTGTGGGCATCATTTTTATAGTGTTGCGTATTAGCCTCCTAATGGTCTTGTTTTCTTTCAGTGAACAACGTGGGAATGTCCTACGAGTATCCTGAATACTTTCTGGATATTCCTGACCTGGACAATGTAAGTTTTTCTTTGTATATTTTGGGAATGAAAATGGTACGTAAAAGCATTGGTGTGGCAATATGGCACAATGAGTAAGAAAGACTGCGAATAGGAAAGCCTCAATGGGGACTTGAAATGGGGACAGGGTAATATAGGTTTGTGGTTGTTGTGCTGCTGGTGGTGGTGTGTCGTCAAGGCAGAACCAACCTCCAGCGGGTTTTCAGAGACAGTTAATTGCAGGGAGGAGATTGTCCATCTTTATCCCTTGGAGCTGGAGATTCAAACCGCGTGGCTTCGGGATTGCAAAGCAGCTTCTTGCCACTAAGCCACCCTGGTAATAAGCACAGATTGAGTAATTAATACTTTAACATACAATGTTAAGTGCCGTCGAGTCGCAGGCTACTCATAGCGACCCTATGAAGGAGAGTCCTTGACGCTTGGATGCCTTTCATCCTCTCTCCAAGTTCATAGGGTTTCCGGAGGCACTCCTCCTTCCACGCTCTAACATACTGTATATATCTATATGTCATTGAAAGATTATATAAAACACAATGTGCATGAATGAAGCATAGGTGTGTATGAATTGTATGCAAACCGAAAACAAAGTGAGTCCTGACTTGAACACAAATGACCACCCAAAAGCAAAAATTAAAAAAAAGCAAGCTGTGAGAATTGGGGTCCATCCTCCTGAGCCAAGCCCAGCTGCCTGAGTGACCCTGGTAGGATCTGGTGTCAGTAGAAGAGGCAACTCCATAGGGATGCTGGAAGGATTAAATGAGTATTCATAACCTCATTTGTACAATGCCAGATTCAATAATAGGGCCAGTTATTCTTATTATATTGAAACTGCTCTGTTTTAAGTATTAGAATCCTAAGGATCAATTTAAAAATCATAAATATGTTAATATAGAAATATAGGTGATCCAGATGAACCAACTCTACCAAACTGTAAGCGATATCCTTGATGCGTGGATAATCCTTTAATAAAAACTAGAAAAGCATATTATTGAAGGAATATGTAAATTTTAAAACTATGGAAAATCTTACATTCAATAATTTCTTATTCTTTATTAGCAGAGTGGAAATTACAGTGTTCATATTTATTTTAGAATTAGGCCGTCTCTCTCTGCTTCCAGATTTCACTTGCACACATACCTTGGCTATTGCACATTAGCCTGACGGTAGAGGAATAGCATCATTCAGGCTCCCCTCACTGTCCTAGGGAGGGACATGCCTATGAAACTGTGTAAGCTGATAGGATAGAAAGCAAAGAAGCAATTGTCACTCATGTTCATGGGGAAAGTGGTTTAGCATGCCCAGGCCCCAGAAACAACCTGCTAACCAGCCATAAAACCATGATGGTGCCAGCCGACACGTGAAACCTAGAATAACACCAACAGAGACACAGTTCATAGCTGCGCGGGCCTGATGCGCAGATGCCGAGTGGAGAAGGAGCTTGACACTGTCACGCGGTCCCAGATGCAGCTCAGGGCTCGGGATGGGGTGGGGGGGGGGTGAGGCCCTGTGCTGCCTCTTAAACTGCTTGATGTAAAACAAGCACTGAACTCGAGTTTTGCCTGGCACCTTTTTTCGCAAAGCAGGAGTCCTTTTGATGTCTTTTGGTTAGCGGAAACAGGTACTACTGTAGGTCTCTCATAAAAGTGAAATGTGTAAAGCAGACTTGTGACAAGGGAGGGCTACCAGTTCTAGGTGTGAAATAAAAATCTGCCTCCTCATCCCCAATGCCTGTGATTTTCCTAAGGTCTTGGCAGTATCTGGGGAGAATGTCCTTGTATTCATAGGTAACTTAAGTGTATTTCTAACATGATCAGTTGTCAGATTTATGTGACATTGTCTATTTTTTTTTGCAGACCATCAAGAGATTGATAAATGTTAATATTGTTTCTGTTTGTAAGGTAAGCAACATCTTTCTAGATGTATCAGTTTTCTGTCCTTTCCGTTTTAAACATTGGCATAATCACTTCAGTCAGATCTTGCTGAGATAGATGTAGGCTTGTGTTTATCTGTTATAGCTACTACTGTGTGTGAAGGAGTGCTCAGACACTATCATTAGTTTTAACCTTTTTAAAATCCTTATCGTTAGACAGACATGGTGTCCTTTTCTAACATACATTATATTTCAAAGCCGAATAAAAATGGGGGACGAGTACTTGAGCTTTCCTGGACCAAGTTTAGAATAAGGATAAATAATCACTTTTTCCAAAACCGTAAGAATTCTAAACTTAGCAAGGTACTGTGTAGGTTGAAACCCACCAGATTTGAATAAAAATAGTGCTATTGTGAAAATACATTTAATTTCAATTAAGTTTTGTAATGTCGGGGGCCGGGGTGAGGGGGGGGTGTTTTAGTGTGAAGTCTTTCTGATGTAAGAATTTAGTCTTTGTGCCCAAAAGCAAAAATAAAAGTAGCTTTTTGAAAAAGCTAATGTAGCTTTTTCAAAACAATGTAGCATGAAGTCTTCTATTCTGAAAAGTTTCTTCCTATTTTTGTTAAATTATGTTAACATAAGACCAGAATTTATTGCAGTAGGAAAAACCTTTGTTTTTTCATAAGGAGTTACATTAAGATTAAGTCGTATGGGGCAGGGGACTTGGAAAGGAGAGGGAGAGGGCTTTTTTTTTTTGCATCAATAAAAAGGAAAAAATCAAAGTAGTTGGGAGATCTCAAAGCACTCTGAAAACTTGTCTCATTAAGTCTCCCACCCCCTGTGCAGTAAATATTATGTTATTCATACAGGTAGGATTCTAAGAATTTCTAATTAAATTGTGTTCTCAGTATCACAGAGCTCAAATAATACAGCTCGCCCAAGGAAGTGTGTGCTGTGTCATTCTAGTATGACTTCCAATGGAGCTGCCATCTCATTGCTCCAAAATAGTCATTGTGTAACATCATTGTTACTTTATGTAATTCTTTTCATGATTGTGTCAAGCTTTTAAATTATTTTTAATGAGTTGAGAACTTAAGGCATTTGCATCTAAGAAATTGTGTTCTTCTAAAGCATGTGGGTTCCTTTATTGATTGCTTAAATTCAGATCCTAGTCATTCCATGCAGGTTTCGTTGGGACAGAGGACAGGACAAAGATAGACCAGGAGGCCAGTTACAGTATCTTAGTTGTTGCATAAGCAAGGTTGTGTCATCTGCATAAGGCAGGTTGTCAGCCTTCCTCCAATCATGATGCCACATTCTTCATAAAATCTGATTCTCTCAAAGCTTTCATTAAAATATGAATTTAAAAACAACCTTAGTTATCCTATTAAAAAAAAAAGAGAAGCAGTGCAGGCAACGCTACTATGCACTTCTAAATAGCTCTTCTAGAAGCAGCTCCAGTTTCCTTCTACCTGGCATGATGTGGGCATCTCTATGTTTGCATTTAAATATTTGCTGTAACTCAACACACACACACAACCACTTCACTCGATGTTAAAGAAGAAACAGTGATGTGCTATAACATTATGGAACAACTGTGGAGGTGAGGTTTAATAAAATATGGTGCGCTCCAGGTCTAAAAAAGAAAAAAATTCTCATATGTCTTGTTCAGCATATTAACTGCATAGATATTGATTTCACATGAGCACAAATACCAGTTTCTTTTAAACCAATAACCCTGAGACTCTTAACCACTGAATAACAAGTTAGGGTAATCCTGTTTTGCAAACAAATTACGAAGAAACATAAAATTTCCTGGTATAGCAGTTATCACTTTTGGGTGGCCTAAAATTAGCATATTGAGTTAACTCTAGAAACAGCTTGTGAGCTGTGAAATGGGCTTCAGAAAAAGTCAGATTTCACAAGGAACGCTTCGTTATTGGTATAAATAACTCAATATCAAGATAACAATTGATGCATGTAAAGTAAAATGAGACTCCTAACAGCTTAGTTAAAATATCCTATATAAAGCTTGGTATTCAAAAGAATGTAAAAAGAGAAGTAAAGCTTCTCTACTTCTACACAGAACTGTTTATATATACTCAGGACAAGCTAGTAAATTTATTAACTTAAAAAGCTGATTAAAGGGAAGATTATTTAAATGCAGAGGCTGACATTGCTCAAATTTATAAAAGCATACATATTTCAAGCTATATTTTCTTAGGGTTTTTTTTGCTAATAATTACTTGCCAAACTCCCCCAAGTCCCATTGATGGTGGTGGTGGTTCGGTGCCTTCAAGTGCACTGTGACTCATCGCCACCCTGTGAACAAGGGGTCTGAACCCTCCCCTATCCTGTGCCAACCCGTCCTCCCAGTCTCTGATAATACTTGAGCCCAATGTTACAAGCACTGGTGTCAATCCGTCTGGTTGATGGTTTTTCTCATAGGCTTTCCCTCCACTTTTCCAAGCGTGATGTCCTTTTCCAAGGACTCTCCTTACAACAAGCTCAAAAGCATGTGAGATGTTTTGCCATCTTTGTCTTTGAGGAGCACCCAAGTTGTACTTTCTTCAAGACATACTTGTTCCCTTGGTACTGGATGGGATAATCAATACTCTTCTTCTGTCATCTTCTAGTCATTGTCCAACTTTCAGATGCATAACTAGTCATTGGAAAGGGCTTAGCTTGAATCAAATGTACCTTAGTACGTTTGTACAATTGGCATCTTTGCTCTTCAGCACCTTGGAGAGATCACACCCATTGACAGCAGTTTAACCAGTGCAACATGTCTTTGATTTCTTGACTACTAGTACTAAGGGTATTGATTGTGAATTCACTGATAATTTCAATCTCTTATCTATTTATCATGATGTTGCCTGTTGGCCCATTTGATGTTGAGATATAATCCATACTGATGGCTGTAGTCTTTAAACTTGTACAGACAACATTTAAAGTCCTCCTCACTTTCACAAGGAAGTTACATAATGTTGTTTGATGCATTTTCCTTTGGTCCTGATTCTGGTCCATTCTTCATCTTCACTATTTAGTAGTTGATGCTTTTGAGCCATCGAGTTGGAAGTGATTCATAACTGACATTCCAGCGGGCATTCAGCAGCAGGGTAATTGCACAGGAGGAGATCACCCGTTCTCTCGTGGAGCAGCGGGTGAATTTGCATCGTGTGCCTTTGGATTAGCAGCACACCTCCTTAGCTGTACAGGGTCCTAAAAGGGCCCTGACAGCAATCCCAGCCTATAGTGACCCTTGAAGACAGAGTAGGACTGCCCACGGAATGTCCTGGGCTGAAACCTAGAAAATGAAAAATTGATGCCTTTTAATTAGGGTTTTGGCAAAGAATATTAAATAGACCATGGGCTGCCAGAAGAACAAACAAATCTGTCTTGGAAAAAGTACAGCAGAATGCTCCTTAGCAACAAGGATGATGAAACTTTATCTCACATTTTTTGACATGTTATCGGTAAAGGCCAGTCCCTGGAGAAAGTCATCGTGCTTGGAAAAGCAGAGGGATATCAAAAAAAGAGGAAGCGGCTGCAGTAATTTTGAGAATGGCGCAAGAACAGGCAGTGTTCTTCTCTCTTGTTCATAAGGTTGCTCTAAGTGTTAGCTCACTCATTGGCTGGGTCTCTTTCCCTAGGCAGTGGCCGATGCTGACGGGTTCAAGCTGCTCCCTGCAGCTTCAGCCATCATGATTGTTGTTTTCTTCTCTTTCAGATGACACGATTGGTGCTGCCTGGCATGGTAGAAAGGTGAGTCATGGGCTCACACACAAACACAACAGAGGCAGAGCTCATTATTATTTATAGGGGAGAATCCTTTCTTTGAAAAATTCATTAAAGTGACTAATGAACCTAGGCCTCCATGTCTTAGTGACAGAGGAATGTGCCGGGCAAGTCACACAGTGAAGTGTGAGTCATCGGGTGGCGGCCGTTTCCACTCGATTCCCCTTTTATTTTCCTCTCCAGGGTTGTGGTGGTTCCTTTAGATCAGGATAAAAACGCCTGCCTGAGTCACCATCACTAACTCAATTGCCTGCTATTCTGAGGGGGTGGACAGAGTTCCTGGGATGTTCCTGGGAATGCCTTCTTAAAGCTGCACACGCTTCTCAGGCAGAGCCCAGTCCAGTAGAGTCGCCAAGCCAGGCCCCATCCTGATTTCCCCCATACTAGGAGAGTGGGTGCAGGCACATTGTAAGTGATGGTAATGTGTTGAGCCAAACCCACCACGATTGTGTTTGAACTAGGTTCCACTAGGGCGCAGTGCCTCTCTTCACCTCTTGTGAGAGGTGAGTTGTGGAGGTCTTGTATTTGAAATGTCACAAAGCATGAAATTATGACGACTCTGTTCTGCTCCTTCAGAAAAACCTAAATACTGGCGAGGCCTTCAAAGAGAAGCCAATAAAAGAGCTTGGGCTTGGATCTCAAGCTAGCTTGATCATTTGCTGAGTTTAGGGGTTCATGGTCATCCTTTCTTGATAAAATGCCTGGGAGTTTAGAATAGGCTCAAAGGAATTACAGCTTTGAAAGGAGAAGACCTCGGAGGACCGTGCTTCTGTGAAAACATCTAACAGCTACAGGGAACTAACATTCTAACATTACAGCTAATGTTTATTGAGTGCATACTTTGTGCCAGGAACTGTGCTGAGATTTGGTTTAACTTTGATGGCTTCCTACTATTTGGCATATGAGAAAACTGAAGGTCTTTTGTTTAGCCTCCATAAAACCGCTGGTGAAACTGCTTTTCAATAAGACTCTTTAACATTTTATTTGTAATTCTACTTTTTGTGCCGTTTTCCTCTATTTTAATTGCTTTATTTTGGTGATACTTCCTTTTAAAGCCTTCATATTGTATTTGTTGACAGAATGCCCCCAATAGCTATAGAAGTTGTTTTTGTTGTTGTTGTTATGGTAACTACAACTCCTGATTAAATCAGGCCTAAAACATAAAGGATCCTGAAATTGAAGTTCAGGTTAGTCTTAGTTTCATCTTGTCAAAGTGACTTATTAATTCAGGATACTAAATCCACCCATTAAGAAAGACATACTGGTCAACCACAGAGTATTTGTAAAAGGCAAATTCATGTAAGCTTATTAAAAGCTTTATCAAAAGCATTGGCTAAAGAGTGAGGGTCACTGAGTTGTAGAGATTTCCGATACATTTCAGTATACTGCAGGGATTTCAGATACATTTCAATATGCTGTGGGAGGCACAAATTGGAACCAGCCCCTCTCATTTGATAGCGTAGCCAGGAGGGTGATTCTGGCTTATGGTGACCCTATATCTGTCAGGGTGAGCAGAACTGGGCTCTTTGAGTTTTCAGTGGTTAGTTTCAAGGGAGATTGCCAAGCTTTTATTTTTTAAAGGACTCAAACTGTCAGACTCTAAATTAATAATTGAATGAACTAGCCATTTGTACAACCCAGGCATCATCATGAAGTATAGAGAAAATTACCTGTATCCTTGCTTTTAAGAAAGCAAAGTGATTTTAAGCTTTGGTTGGGAAATAATAATAGTTTCTTTTCGAAGGGTCAGCACAAAGCTTATTCCTAGGAAGTGGAGAGTAAAGTTGTCCCAAATGTCCAGCTTTTCAAAACTGCTGATGGCAGCTGGATCCTGAAAGCAGAAAATACCATATGTCTATCTGTATTTTTTTTTTTGTCTATCTGTATTTTATTGACTGTGCAGAGGTGTTTGACTTTGTGGATCCTAACAGATTGTGGCTAACATTAAGAACGGGAGTCCCAGAACACTTAAATTATGCTCATACAAAACTTATACCTAGACTAAGAGGCAAACAGAGCAAAGGAACACTGAATGGTGTACAGTGAGGAAAGGTGTGTGTCAGGGTTGTATCCTTTCTACCTACATACGAATTCAGACTGTACGTTGAAAAAAAAATCATTGCTGAAGCTGCACTCTCTGAAGAAGAATGTGAGAGGATCTGAGGTTGACTGGCACAGCCTTACTTGCTGAAAGTGAGGAATACTTGAAGCACATACAGCAAAGGATCAAAGGAACCTTCAGGATGGACTGCATCTCAACACGAAGAAGACAGAAATCCTCACCACTGGACTAATAAGCAATGTCAGGGTTGACAAAGACTGAAGTTGTAGAAAATTTCATCTTACTTGGATCCAGTCAATATCCTTGGTATTAGCAGTTAGGAGATGTATTTCACTGGGCAAGTCTGCTGTAGGACAGACCCTCTCCACATTACTGAGGAGCAGTGATGCCATTTTGAAAACTGAGGTGCGCCTGATTCATGCCATGGATAGTGAATAAAGATGACAGATAAAAATTGGATTCCTTTGAGGTGTGTTAGAGAAGAATACTGAATCTCACCAACTGCCAAAAGAACAAACAATTATGTCTTGGAGAAGGTACAGCCAGAATGCTTCTTGGAGGCCAAGATGGAAAAGCTTGATCTCCCACGCTTTGGGCACACTGCTAGGAGAGGCTTTTCATGCCCTGAAGGCGAGCAAGCATCCTTGGGAAGATGGAGGGTCATCAGAAGAGAGGAGGACCCTCTGTGAGATGGATTGACAGAGTGACCAGTGGGCTCGAGTGTGTCAGATGATGAGGATGACACAGGACAGGAAAGATCTTAGATCTTTCATCTGTAAAACTGCTAGGAGTTTTCTGTAAACCTTCCTCAACTCAGTGGAATTAACAGCATGCTAGTCCATCATATCTAGCTCTTCTATTCGTTGTTCTTCCTTTTGTCTTTGAGTTCCATAATTCCCTGCAATATCTCACAAAACTCACAAACCATCAAGGAATTGATTCACGCAGTCCTGGAGGCTGAGAAGTCGCAGATAATTGAGTCAGGCTTCAGGCTGGAGTCTCATCCCGACTCATGGTTGTGGAGGCCAGTGACCCTAGGTTGGCAGGTCAGATGATAGGCTGCTCTATTTCCAGGAACTGGAGACCAGATGTGGAGGAAGAGGCAGAGGAGTCAGGTGCAGGATACAAAGAAAGAGAACTTTGCCGCCTCTCTCATATATTGTGTATATTTTCATGCAGGCCATGCCCTCAAGGAAACTGCCTTTTCTTGAGCCATGCATTGCAGGTTGTGACTTGAATAAGGTTTTTAAGAGTGATGCCATTGGTGAAGTACATTCTTCAAGTCCTGCTTCATTGACACCATAAATAACAAAATCCCAAATGGGAACATAACCAAAGGCATCTAGGTCAGGATTTAGAAAACATCCCAGAATGAAAGGTAACTAACTACATCAGATAACAAATGTAGCACAATTACATCATGAAATAACAACCAGGTCACTTTAACTTGTGGCCCCGCCAGGTTGACACCCAGCTTCAGCCTTTGAAGATTCTGTGTACTTTATCTGCATTAGCAGCAAACTAGTGTCTGGTCCCTGTGGTGGTCTTCTCGTCCCTCATTTGTGTTGCCTTCCCAGTCATCATGTGTGAATCATGGAAACTACGTCTTGAAGGGCACTGTTCAGAAAATTCACTGCACTGCAGAAATGATCAGGTAGAAAGCCATTGTATCTGAAGAGAAAGGGACACCAGGGCGTGGTTTTGACATTTGCTGATAGCTAGTTTGAAATGTGAATGGATTTGTATGAATCGTTTAATTTGGTTAGGAAAAGAGTATCCATTTCCACTTGAGTTAGAGGAGTTCTTGGGCATATTGGGCAGCATAGACCAACTGCTGGAACAAACTGTCCCAAATTCTTAGTGGCTTGGCATCATCAAGGTTTCCTTCTCCCTTATATCACAGTCCAGTAAGGATCATTGTTGGGGTTCCTTCAGTTGCAGGGCTCCGTCCCTCCCAGGGCCTGAGATTTCTCACGGGATGCTCCACATCCACCAAACAGCTGAGATGAAGGAAGGAGGATTAAGGAGGATCCTGCAGGTGGTGTCATGAGCCGGGCCTGGAAGTGTGCCTGTGTTCCATTACCAGGAAGAACTAGCCCCAGGCTGTGCCAACTGCAGGGGCCACCAGCAATATCATTAGCACTGAGCCCTGGAAGAAAGGCAGTCTCCCAGTCAACAGGTCATTGGAAAGCCTTCTTGCTTAGACATTGGAAATCATTTTATTACAGCCTGCTTTTTCTTTACTGCCCCCAAATGACATATTTCCCAAGGACTGATCTCTCCATTGAATAATAGCACAGCCCTTTTGTTGTTTCAGGCTTTGTTTTATTTATTTTTTCCTCCCCCCCTTTTTTTCACTGATTCTACCTCTGATGTAGGAGATTTTTCCAAACCCTCCAGAGCAATAGCCTAAGGCCAACTATCACTGAACAAGTATCTATAATCAAACTAAGGTATTATTACCATAGAAGTAGAAAGTGCATAATTACATTATAGAGGAAACTTGCTCTTTCCTCTTCCCTGGAATTATAAACATTGTGTACAGCTGGAGCCAGGAGGTGGTTGCCATAACAACCATGGAAAAGCTAAAAATAGCCTCTTTCATACTGTATTGCTTAAGGTGGAATTATGACATGTTATGGTGTTTTAGGGCAGGTAATTCTCTTTCATGTGCTAAATGTTTGCAAACTTTCTTCCACAAAGCAATATTTGTATAATATAAGCGTTTGGATTCCTGGTTCTAATTATACCTGATCACCATGTTCCAGGAGTCCTTTCTGACACAGAACTGTTTTCATATGCTTCTCAGACTTCTTGAGTCTGTTAGGGAACTATCTGTACCAGTTTCAGTAGATGCTACGTTTGAGATTAATAAAAAAAAAAAACAAATGACCCCCCAGAGCACATTTACATGAGAGAACTTTCCATTATGTAAGAACTTTGGTGTGCTTTTGGTGTGTTCTTCCTCCTTTGTCTTGCAGTTGCACCTCCTGTCCGCATTAGGACACTGTGCTTCAGGCCCCGTGGCAGGGCTGCGCCCTCCACCCCATCTGTAATCTAGAGTAGTGCTGAGGGTCCTGAGGAAACCAGAGGTCAGCCATTCTTCAGGGAGGACCAGTCACCTCTTCTCCAGCAAGCATGAGGACAAAGACCCTATACTATCCCACTACAGTAGTGGGATGTTTGTAGAAGTGTGTGAGCAGTGTTTTTATCCAGGTGATAGTTTGGGGAAGCACCACTGTTGGGAGTTTCAAAGACCTGACAGCAGCTGTACCAGAGCACAGAGCTAGCTACAAGTGCCCCTTTTACAGGGCTGGGTGAGTTTAAGGTTTCAGTTATGAGAGGGTTAGGAATTAGGGGTAATATTTTTGTATGAGAAGATCACTATCAGGCAGTTGGTGTTTTCTGCTTTGCTTTTTGCAGTATTTTAGTTCCAGTCAATCCTCAATATTTTGTTCCAAACAGACACTATTGTATAGCCCTTAGCAAAAAAACGGCCTTGTGCGTTATGACTGTTGGATCTCAGAAAATATTACTTGGCGTGTTTATTTGGATGTTTTTGTCATAACAGGCTGGGAGATGTGCTGAAGTATGAGGCATGTGAGTTGTCACTAGAGACCTTCAGCACAAAGTTTTAATGTGCCTTGCAAGCTTCGAATCGGTCCCCAAGCCCCCGGAAAATGGGAGATTAACCAGGGCTTGGTTGTATGTTTGTTTCTGTGTGCAATTAAGCACAGCCCATTTTGTCCTTCTGCCTGATATAACAGAGTTGTCATGAGTCTGCCTGTGCCATGGAAACGGGTTTGACGTCACTAATTCTGCTTAGATGGAGGATTAGAGCTCGACAAAGTGGTTGATTTTACAGACGTGTGCTTTGTGCCTCCCAGCCCCAAATGCTCACATAAAGCATAGGTACTGTAGGCAGCACAGGGATGGAGACAGGCTATGCCAGTTTATTTCAGATTCCGACAACACTAAATTGAATATTATTCTCAGGGGGGTGGGGAGTGGAGAGAAGTAGACGTGTGTGGTGGACGTCAGGCGTGGTTTCTGCTGAACAAATATGTGTGCTTAATGGTAAAAGAGATCTGGAGGAATGGGGAGATGTCTCTCCTGAAAATGCAAAACTCAAGTCCACTTAAGTCGTGTCATTTTCATACAAGTATCAATGCTACTGACCTCTTATTTAGTTCTAGGACATTCCAAAGAGCTCTGGGGGCGTAGTGTGTCAGTTTGAATCCACTAGCCTCTCTGTGGGAGACTGATGGGCAGTCGTCTCCCTACAGCCTAGAAACACAGTGGTCACCAAGAGTCAATATTGATTTGATGGAAGGGGTTCGGTATTTAGGGGTTAGGGCATTCTCAGAGTCCCTGGCTTTTGACCTGGCCTTTTTAAAGCGAGGAATACTTGTTGCACATTGCAGCTTTCAATATGGATTGCATCTCAGTGTCAATGGGGAGGAAAAATTATCACTACTGGCCCAGTAGGCAACATCACATGATAGATGGAGAAAGATTGAAACTATCAGCAACTTCATCTTACTTGGATCCATAATCAGTATACTTGGTACCAGCAGTTAGGAGATCAGGAGACCTATTGCACTGGAAAAGTCTGTAGTCAGGGACCTCTCCAGGTTATTGAAGAGCAGTGATGTCAATTTGAGGACTAAGATGTGCCTGATTCAGGCCATGGTCTTTTCAGTCACCTGCTATGCATCCAAGAGCTAAATAAATGACTAGGGATGACAGAAGGAGAATTGACACCTTTGAAGTGTGGTGTTGGAGAAGTACTGAATATGCCATGGACTGCCAAAAGAATAAGCAGATATGTTTCAGAGAAGGTGCAGCCAGATTGCTTCTGAGAGGTAAAGATGATGCAGCTTCATCTCACACATACTTTGGGCTTGTTGCCCAGAGAGGTTATTCCCTGGACAGGGACATTTTGTTTGGAAAGATGGAGGGATGATGAGTGAGAGGAAGACCCTCATCCAAGTGGATTGACTCAGTGACTCAAGATTGTATTAAGTGAGAATCATGTATGGTTAACAGTTGATGTGAAGGGAGGGAAAGGATAGTAAAAATTAATGAACAGACACTGAGTGGGTGAAAAAGTTTGTACAGTAACAGGTAGGCTCATCTTTATAATTAATTCGCTACAATTAATATTATAAAATGTGTATGAATGATTACATGAAAAAGCCAGTCTACTTCTTAAGCTGTCACTCCAGTAAGAAAATGACATTTTTGAACAGACCTTTACTAAAGAGCAACACAAAGCCAGATAAGAAACAACTTGCTTCAGTGGCACGTTACGCTGAGGGCCTGCATGTCCCTTTGATGGTTCAAGTGGCATCTTGCCTAGAGCGCTGGCAGATGGACCAGGTGACCTTCGGGGATTATTTCTTTTCAGATTTATATCCGAAATCACTTAGATGCCATTTAATCATGTTTCTTACTATTTTGCATAGTCTATACAGTCCATTTTTTTCTGATACTCAGGGCCTATGGGGGGTAAATTCAGAGGGAAGATGGGAGAAACGAGGCTGATGGGAGATGGTCTGATCTGGAACATGGAAGGTCAGGGGGCAGGCTGCTGGAGACAGAGAAGGGACCCTTCTGAGGTGAAGAGATTGGAGAGGGTGGAGTTGCTTCTTAGTTCTGTCTGTTATGCCTAAAAATCATTCCCTCAAATTCTTTAAGAGCTAGTATAACGTCCCCTTTTTTGGTAAACTAGCCTTCCCCTCTCCCCTCAAAGTTCTTGTCCAGCTGATTCTAATTCACAGCAACCCCATGCATGTCCAAGTGGAATCATGCTCTTTTGGATTTTTAAGGCTACATTTTTGGGGGGTTTTGTTGTTGTTGTTTTACTTTGTTATTTTGTGTGTACCGTCAAATCGGATCTGACTGGTACAGGAGGAAATTGCCCCTCCTTCTCCAGCAGAGCATCTGGTGGATTCGAATCACGCACCTCTGGGATTGCAGTGCAGCTTCTTGACACCAGAGCTTGCCAACAGCTACATTTTTGGAGGTGGATCCCCAGGCCTTTCTTCCAAGGCACCTCTGAGTGTCTCCAGACTTCAGCCCTATGATTAGCAGATAGAATGTATTGGGCATTTGTGTCAGGCCCAGATTTCTTTTTTAAACTTTTTAAAACTTTTTTTAAAGTTTTGTTTTATAGAATTGGAACTACTTAGTAACACTGGCATTTAACTTTTTTGCTAAAATCTATTTAGCAGTAATTAGAGTAATTGCTAAAATCTGTAGCAGAAACCGAGTTTTCCCTTTTGGCAAAGAGAATTATTTTAATAACTATTATCCCTTAAGTCTGTAGTCAGCTCTGTTTACTGCCTGGATATCTGCAAACCAAGGGAAGAGGGACGGCCAAACATAACCAGTCATTCATTTAAGTACAGAATTACTGTGTTTTGAGGAAAAGTGCAAATCAAGGACTATGACATGCATTAGTGTTGAGGAGGAAAGTTTTCACACTCATGGAGCAATGGAATGCTCCAGCAAGGTAGTACGCAGTGAGATGCCCAAGACAAGTGTGGGGAGTGTGAGAGGAGCCCGTGGCAAAATGGTGAAACACTCAGCCCCTGGCCAAAAGGTTGGCCGTTTGAGCCCACCAAGGGCTCACCTGGCGAAAAACTTGGCAGTCTGCTCCCTTGGAGGTTGCAACAGCCTAGGAAACCTGTGGCAAAGCTCTCTGTCAAATAGGATCACTGCGTTGGAATATCATGGAATGAATACACACAAGAACAGCAGCACAAGAACATTTCAGAGAGCGAGAATTCCTTGTGCTGTGGTCAGGAAAGGTGGCGTGGAGCATGGAGACCAGTCCAAGGAGACTGAGGATCTGACCGGTCCCGCCCTGGGTTACTGACCTAGAGAAAGAGCTAAGCATAATGAGCTATTTTTAGTTGATTAAATTATGCCTCATTTAGGGAGCTCTGGTGGCCTAGTGGCAAGACACTACACTGCAATCCCAGAGGTATGCAGTTCAAATCCACCAGATGCTCTGCTGGAGAAGGAGGGGGCAATCTCCTCCTGTACCAGTCAGATCTGATTTGACGTTACACGTAAAAATAATACAATAAAAAAAAAATTAAAAAATGGGCCTCATTTACCAACCAAACATATCACGCACAGATGAAAGAAAGGCAAGGGGAGATGCGGGTTAGAAAAACAGCCGCGTTGTCTGTTTAAAATCATACTATATCTTGCTCATCACTCCTAAACAATCGTTCTAAACACTCGAATAGATGATTTCACTCCGTTTACTCGGTTCGTTTTTCTTTTTAGATCGAAAGGGGTGATTGTGAACATCTCCTCCGCCAGTGGCATGTACCCTGTTCCGCTCCTGACGATCTACTCTGCAACCAAGGTGAGAAATATTCAAGGAATTCATGCCCTTACAAGAATGAACGATAACTTGCAGCTGGAGAAATGATTTCCTGAAGTTAAGCCCACTGGACTAGAAAGAATAGGAAACCTCCCAGCACTGGTTTCAGGAGATCGCTGATGGGGTTCAGCTTTACCAGTGGGCCCCCAGGATATTAGGGACCCAGGCTGTGGGAGTTTTGTTGTTGGTTTTTGGTTTAGATTTTCTCCTTGAGTGTACTTTCTGGCCTGGGCCACTGTGCTTGGTTTATTAGAGCCTGGGGTTAATGAGAAGGATTGAGGACTTCTTATGAATGAATCACCTTCTTGTCTTCAGTTCTAACATTACAGAGCCCAGCAGAAGAAATGTAGCTAGTCAGCACGTTATTGATGTTGTTAGGTGCCATCACCTGTGACTTGTAGGGACCCTATGAATGATGGGTCAGAACCTTACCCTATCCCGTGCCATCCTCATCTCTGATACGCTAGAGCACATCGTTTCAAGCATAATGTCTTTTCCCCAAGACTAGCACATCCCAAAGTATGGGAGATGAAGCTTGACCATCTTTGCCTCCAGGGAGCCCCCTGGTTGCACTTTTTGGAGACAGACCTGTTTGTTCAGTTGGCTGTCCATGGGCTACTCAGTATTCTCCAACACCACAGCTCAAAGGCATCCATTCTTCTCCTGTCATCCTTACTCATTGTCCAACTTTCAGATGCCTAGCCAATAATTAGTAGGCACAAACTAGAGTGGGTAAGAGGGTAAATGTTTAGCTTCGCCATCCAGGGTCCATAGCTTTGCAGTATCTTCTGGGATGAGACATGAATTTTCCAGAATACACCCCTGTAGACAAAATGACCATTTAGACATTCATTGATAAAAAGCAAGCACTTAGGGCAAATGAGCAAACAAGAATACACATGAAATTAGAAAACTAAGATAATAATGGCTTGATGAATATGTAGTAAAGAAAATAACAGCAAAATACTATTGGTTAAAAGTTGGATGATATAAAGATGTTCACAGTAAAATTCTATCGTAATAAAACATAATGAATGCATTTCTATGGTTCTCAAAAGGTATGCTGTAAAAATGCTTAGTAAGTAAATAAGAGTTTGTGGGCTGCAAATAGTTTTCTGACTGGAAGTAAAAGTTAATTCCACATACTTTTCAAATTACTGAAAATAGTTACTGTAATGAAAAAGCACATATATAAAAAAACTTCCACTTAAAATTTTTAATTTTAAAAATAAAAAATACACATGAGCTTGCATGATGTCAGACGCAGGGGGTGGGGGGAATAGCAAAACACCTATCTTATTTGTTCTTAAGTAAAACCTTAGATATTTTTTGGTTGTACATAACAAAAATAAAAAACCACAAGCACAGTTAGAGCAGAGCTTTGCACTCCTGACCCTCCCTTCCCTTCAACCTACGTGCGTCCACAGTAGGTGTGCTTCAAATGAACTCCATGCCTCTTGGGGGTTGGGAACTCCACCGATAGACGCTCATAGAGTCCTTATTGATTATTTACATTTCAGCCCTGAGGTTGCATCCCTATTTGACAAAATGGCGCTCTGTATTCTACAAATAGATGGAAAGCTGTATTTTGATAAGATGGGCTGTCACATTTGTCTTTGCACTTCTTGGAGCTGGCCCTCCCAGAGGTCCACAAAGATATGTGCTCTTTTCATCTCAGAACTGACAACAAAATCCCCATAGCACAGAGGGGAACAGAATTCATCCTGCGTTTCTAGCTGAGTGGCGAGAGGAGGAAAGGAAGACAGCTTTGGGGAAATAATTTTTTTAAAGATGAAAGGGGAAAAAAATTCTTCTTGGAAAGTAATTTTCTGAGAGGGGAGAGAAAACGAAGAGTTCTTTCTGGCTAAATCGAAATTTAATCTGAATATTATATTTTGGTAAGAACTATTTTAGAGCAGATAAAAATGAGGGGTTTTTTGTTTTCTTTTTGTTTTGGGTTTGTTTCTTGGTTGTTTTGATTTTTGGCAGGTTTGGGTTTTTTCTTCCCATTTTAATCTGCACTTGAAACAAAAAGAATGATTAGAGTATTGGATTGTGGTGTTTGTTTCCACGGCTACCGATTAGGCTGAATGATGGACTGTGTGTGTTTTCCTCCCACCCACGCCCCCCTAGACGTTTGTGGACTTCTTCTCCCAGTGCCTCCACGAGGAGTACAGACACAAGGGCATCTTCGTGCAGGTAAGTGAGTGCATCTCAATTGACTATCCCTATCTTCCTGTGATCTCCACAGCAACTGTTGCTGTCTTGGCAACGCAAGCAAATCCCATTCCTAAGTCAGCGAATGTGATGGCAGCAACGTCACCACCTACCCTCTTCCTTTTTCCCTTTGAGTCTCGATTTTTAAAAATCACCCCCAGGGATGTTTAAATGGGAATCCCTAAAACAGAACAAAATGCAGTGTAAACAATTGAAGCATAATTGTCGTCGAGTCTTCTGAGGCCTCCTATCTCTTGGCTGCCAGGTAGGAGTGTGAGTTGGACCTTGTGTTCCCCAGACCTGTGTGGACAGACGACACAAGAGAAGGAAGAGCGCTGAATAGCACACACTTCTACTAGAATGGGCTGCAGACCCCCAGGTGCTAGAGGGGCAGTGGTGATGTTTGGTCTTATTATACCTCTGGGAGGTCCAGTCTGTGAAAGGATGGGATGAAAGAGGAGAGGAGATAGATGGATGGCTGTCAACACTCAGCAGAAAGATGTAATAGCTCAGTGTTTCCTTTATTTCAAATGTCCTGGGGAAAGTTGCTGTCCTTACTCTTGTCCTGTCCCTACCCCATATACCCTATGTCCATTTCTATGAGCCCAGTATTTGAGTTTTGTCCCTGAAGCCCCACATGATCAACCTTAACAATGACAGCAAATATTTGAGGGTGTACTTTTACCAGGTGCCATACTAGTGAGTGCTTTGCATGTACCCTCCCACTGCATTTCCCAGTGCTCCCATGAGCTCACGTGATGATCAGGGTGCAGAAACCCAGCTCTCCACGTTCCTTCTCCACCTCCTTTGTACCTGAATCCGTGGTCCCCTTACTCATCTTTCACAGCTTTGGGGCACACAGGCCGCCTTCCCTGGGAAACTGCTTCACCTCCTGTCCCGCTCTCCTGCCTTGGCTCTCCTGCCTGGCGCACTCTGGTCCTTTCCCCACCCCTCCTCACGTGTTCATAAGAACAGGGACCTTTCCTGGTGGTCTCTTGTGCCACTCCAGAGGCCTGTCCTGTGGACCTGCAGGACCCTGGCTGTGTGAAGGCCTGCCTTCCACTCTTTCCTCATCTCCTTTAGAGGCATTTTGAGCTGCTCAGTTACTTTCAAGTGGATAGACTCGGCAACAAGTGATAGAAATGCCCAGGAGATAAATGATAGGCCTCGTGTAGATTCTAGTCTACTGATCGTGAATCATCGTCAGGTGAATCTTATCTAAAGGATACTCTTAGGTTCAGGCAAGTTGCCTCTGGTGAATAATGAGGACAGAACGCTGGATGCGGCGCCATCCTTACCATCTCTGCTGCGTGTGAGCCCGCTGCGGCTGCTCTGTGGCGGCTCGTCTTAGGGAGGCTCTTCCTTTTGCTGACTCTGTTTCTTCCGAGCATAATGTGTTTTTCCTAGGGGTCTCTGGTGGCCTAGTGGGTAGGAGTTGCACTGCCAGCCTCAAGGCTCCCAGATAGAATCCGCCAGCCTCCTCTGCAGGAGAAAGATTGGCATTCTTCCCCCATGTAGTTTATAGACGCTGCAAACCTGCTGGAGGCTCAGCTCTGAGGGTTCTCACTCATGCTATCTGCCACATAATGGCAACAACAGTATCCCTCTGCAGGGACTGGCCTGTGGGAGCTTGCCCAAAGGGTGGGAGTCTCGCCATCCTTGTTTTCAGAGGACCACATCTGAATGCTGACCTGCAGGAAGCTCGCTTGTCACACTGAGCTGTCCTTACCCTTGACCTTGACCTTGCCTAAGACCGGCTGGAGGTGTAGTGTGTTGCATGCTGGGCTGCTAACTGGAAGGTCTGCCCTTCAAGCCCGCTAGCTGCTCTGAAGGAGGATAATTCTCCTCCATTAAAGATTTACAGCCTTGCCAACCTGATAGCAGAGTTGCCTGCAACCCACTGGCAGTGGGTGTGGAGTCGATTTCCATCTTTTTTTAAATATTGGTTCTGTTTACTTAGAATTGAAATGATCCAAATGATATGACATATAACGAAGTGATAAAAGGATGTGTTAGTGTGACAAAACTGTTCACTAAACAGCCTAATGTGTCCACCTATGTTGCTGTCTTATTCACCAGACATACATTTTGTTGAGCTTCAAAAAGCTAGAAAGCTAAGTGAGAAGAATCTCTTTGTTTTGAATTGCCTTTGACAGTAAAGAAGGTAATGGAGTTTTTGGTGCCTATAGAGTAAGGCAGTGCAAAGATTCTCACAGGAAATCAACTCACAGGAGGTCAACTGTACTAACTTTGAGAATCACAATCACAAATCACAATTTAGTCCAGTCAACCCTGTTGAGATAATTGGACTCTGAACTTTTCCAGATAAGTGCATCTGCACTTTTGTTAGTGATCAGCCCCCTGACCTTTAATGACAGCTGTGGCACCAGAACTAAGAACGTCCATTCCCCCTTCCCGAAGACCATTTGAGAAAGAACCTAGGTATTCAGATATTACCTCAACAGCCTGTGTATGTAAAAACCACATTCTAGCATGCAACCAAATTTTTCAATTTGTTCTGAAAAGCATCAGAATGTTAGAAAACATACAAAAATAACTGCCAACACACACTAGAGAATTTCAGCTACACAGTAATTTAGACTATTTCACTCGGTCCCCATCATAGTACAGTTGGGAAGATCGACTATCTCCTAATTTCTAAGTAAGACCATAAGGCACAGTCAGTATTTTGCTCAAGATCACACAAGCAGGACGTGGCCAACCTGCAATGGATTGAAACTCAAGCCTGTCTGATTTCAAAAGTAATTGCTCATACTACCTGCATCTCATTCCCCAAATTCAAGCCACCAGGAAGTCTTCCTGATAGTAATTTCTCTTTGAAATGTGCCCAAGATCTATAAATTTGCCTTTGTTTAGATAGAGGATCAGGCCTAATAAAACTCCAGCACTGCATTTATCAATTTTCTGGGGCTTGCTTTGTTTTTTTCTGGATTGCAGCACTGGAATAGCCCCCCCTAATTTGTTGTTCAGTGCTGTGGACCGGGTAGTGCTCTTTGGTCCGTTCATTCATTCAATAGTTGTGCCTGCAGCTGTGACTGTGTGCCTAGTACCATACCCTGAGCACTGGGAGTGCGCCTCCCGCCTACCCCCACCTCACAGTTCCCATGTCCGAACTCTACAGAACTAGTGCAGCTCCCAGAAAGCATCCTGCTCCTGTTATTCTCAGGCCCGAAGTCTGTCTGCCAGTGTGTTTTCCTGGCAAATCCTTTCACTTCACTTAAGATCTATCTCAACAGTTACTTCCTCTCAGTAACCTTCTCATCCACTTGGCCTTGTTAATGTCCTTGTTTCAGAATCATAAAAATAGACACCTTTTCCAGAATTTTAGTTTGGTTTGGTGGTGGTGGTGGCATTTTTTAGTTGGGATTTAACTTAATGCTTGGGTGTGCATCGCCCTCCCCACCCCCAGACCCAGGAATTCTCTAGACGGCCAGTTTTACTGAATGTTGCATTAACCTGTGGCACCATCAAGTGGTTCAGTTGGGCAGTGCAGCTTAGTTCTTCCACAAGATCCACATAGTTTTGCGCTCTCGGTAGCAACAGTTCTTCCTCCTGAATCATGCTGCGTTCTAGATTTCTGTTTAATATCTTCTTAAAACTTAAAAAAGCATTTATTTCTGCTAATTTGTAATGCCTTTCCCTCACCTCACATGCTGTATTGCTGATAGATTGATCTGTCACAATTTGTTTTATGCTAATATATATACACACATATATTTGCTCAAACTGGCCTTCAAAGGCTCTTTCTCTCTAAAGACACACATTTTTTTACTGTGTCCTCATGTTTCTAGTAGAACACTTGAGCATCACTGCACTCTGGGTTTGTCGCCTCCTAATCATTGTGTTTTGATGGGGGTTGTCTGTTACCTTTTCAGAGTGTCTTGCCGTACTTCGTGGCTACAAAGCTGGCTAAAATCCGAAAGGCAACTTTGGACAAGCCTTCTTCAGAGACATTTGTGAAGTCTGCAATGAAAACAATAGGCCTGCAGTCCCGAACCAGTGGTTACCTGATCCATTCTATCATGGTATGTGGTCCTTCAAGCCTCTTATCGTTACTTCCTGTGTTGGGAGTCTCTGCCCCAATGAGTTGTAAAATACTGTGTGTACTGGCATGTGTACATTGTCTAGACATACAACCAAGGCATCCCTGGGGCTTTGGTTTGGTTTGGTTTTAGTGTTTTAATGTTAAAGGCAACTTTAAAATCTACCTGTAAATAAAACAGTATAACAAAGGAGGCCCTGGGTTGTGCAGAACATTAATGTGCTCTGCCATATTGAAAGGTCGGAGGTTGTCCACCTCCCAGAAGTGCTTCAGAAAAAAGACTTGTTGATTTTGGTCCTGCACGTCAGCCATTGACAACCCTGTGGAGCCCACCGCGACTCTGGCACACCGGGGCTCCCCAAGAGTCAGAATCGACTCCACACAGTTGGTCTGGATGTGATGAGATATAAGATCATACGCTCCCAAGCCCAACTTCCAGGCAATAATTCCAAATCTCACCCTTTTCTTTTCTCAGGCCTCAATAATGTCCTGTCTGCCTTCCTGGCTTTACTATAAATTAACCATGTTTCTTGGCAAATCAACCCGGGCGCGCTACCTGAAGAAAAACAAGAAGAACTAAGCCTCGAGACCTGCATTGAGCACCTTGGCCAGATGCCCCAGCCTCTGCATGTGGACTGCAAGGCACTAGCGCGGTCCAAACCCTCCCACTGTCCCTGAAAAGTTGTTACAAGCAAGGCTGAGTGGTGCATCATGGGGAGGAAAGTTATGTCTTTTAGGATGCTATCAGGGGTTCTTTTGATGTTTAATATCCATGCCCATATCAAATGGAAATCAAAGAAATATTAGCAAGAAAAGCTTAATAGGAAAGGACACAAGGACAGCAAATCTCCAATTCATAGTCTCAAGTATGACTCCATAGAGACCCTATGACACAGCGCCACTGATTGTCATATTTTCTCTGGTGTTTCTAACATTTAGAATGAATGAAGATTAGTTAATGTGATTTGTGGAAAGACATACTGCAATTTGCATACATGTAAATTTACAATTTACGGATCTATGTAAGGTTTAATAAAATTGTCTTCCAGTTTGCACATTTTCCATGGAATTGTTTGTTCTCAATGATAGCTAGCTAATGGCATGAAGGTAATTTATGGAATACGGAGTTGTTTCTGACACATGAAACACACTAACATATGCTTTCTTCTAGTGCATAATTCCTCTGGGCTTAAATGTATGCAAATACTGAAAGGAATACGGTGTGATTTATAAAAATTAATGGACCAAAAGCTACAGGATATGATTCATAAGGGTAGATAGACCCAAGTGTGCATGGCCACCGTGCCTCTGGCCCGAGGACGTGACCTACCTGGGTCCTCTGTCCTTTCTGAGTCTACATTACGCTCACTAGTGCTCACGTGCGTGAAACCAGGCCACTTCCGTAGCAATCAGGATAACACAGAACTGGTGTTACATGTTTTAATCAGAACCTTAAGTTCTTCCTGCTTTTGGTTGGCAATGTAAAACCATTTGTATCCTGACTTGAAATAAATTCAGGTTCTTATCTCGCTACAAAAATGTGTGTGGAGAACTCACCAAAATAATCACAGATAAGAAACATTTTACAGAGGAGACAAGCCTTCACCTCACTTCCTTTTCTCAGGCTATTGCAAGGTTGAAGGTCCGGTTACATTCACAAATAAAAAAATAGGCAATTGAACTATTTTTATTTTTTTAATTGAGGGATTAAAATCCTTTCTAGCTTTACATCCTGCCAGTTATATACAAAGGCTATACAACAAAACTCAGAAAAACCAAATACCATCTGCTATCAGCATCATTATAGAAAAGACAAGATATTTTAGCACTAAAATGTAGGAGCTTAAACTTGGAATAAAAGTCCTTTAACTGGAATAAACTTGACTTGCTAACAAACATATTTTACCTCTTCTGGCTCTCGGTTTATTGTAGAGATGTGTGTAAGTAAACACCCTGGTGACTGTCCACTCTTCAACCAGCCTTCACACATTGATTGTGATCTAAGGGGATGTGGTGGTGGATGGGTAGGCGATGGGTTGTAAGGACACAAAATACTTGGTTTTCTTCTTTTTTTTAAATTGTTATTTATTTTTTAATGTGTGTACCGTCAAATCGGATCTGACTGGTACAGGAGGAGATTGTTCCTCCTTCAGCAGAGCATCTGGTGAATTCGAACCTCACATCTCTGGGATTGCAGTGCAGCTTCTTGCCACTAGGCCACCAGAGCTTGCCAAAATACTTGGTTTTCTTTTATCCCAGTTAGGAGATTGTTGAAGCCCAGCTGGGCGATCCCTGAACAAATGCAAAACTTGTGAGCTGTAAGTTTCATTGTTTCAATTTGCAAGTACCTCCTTGTAGTTGAAGCTCAAGGGCAAAGATGACATGGAAATATGTTCCTCCAGGCCCATGAGAGGAAAAGTTGTACCTAAAGAGAAACCCACATACTACAGACCTTCAGAATGATGTAGAAGAATCTTTAGACTTTACGTATGCAGACTTAAAATATTTTTGTAATGTCTTCGAGTGTTTGCTGAGGGTTCGGAACCCCAGAAGTGTAGAGAAGGCACCATGGATTATAAATGTGCAGTTAGCTTACCTCACAACAAGGAAACCTGACTTGCAATTGATGTGTATCCACACCCAGAATGCTGTGTGCAGCTCTGACCTGCCCTGTACCAATCACATGTGCTCTTGGGGTCCCTAACAGGATGCTGAGGCTGCTGTTATTACTCCCCATTTCTGCAAATTTGATCCTGCTGTGAAGAGATGGAATTCTGGATTTACATTTGATATTTATTGCACTGAAATACAGCAGAACAGCTCTGTATGGCCTGACCACTAGTGCCGTTGGCCAGTACAAATGGTACCGACTCAGTGTGGAAGAGGCCTTTTTTTTCAGTAGTCATGGCTTACGGTATGACAGGAGCTAGAAGTAGTACTAGAATTCCTCAGCTCGGTTAACATTATAAATGACCTGTAGTACAGACGGTCTTGCATGTTGCTGTTTTGTGTGTTTTCAACATCAAAACAAGTTCTTGAACTTTTGTAGAAACAAATTGAGGGGGGAAAAATGATTCACCACTTTATGACATTCCAATCTCTAGACTATTGACACCTTTCCTGTGGATTCAAACGTAAACGTGAACACAGCTGAAGTTCCCTTATAGAAATAATGATTTGTGTGGCGAAATCTAGGACTGTAACATGATTCTTTAACTAGCATGAGCATATCTGATTTTAAAATTATTGTATGTGATTAGTGGCCTGTTAGAAAGCTCTGGTGAGAGTGGGAAGAAGCAGCACTGCAATCAATCCCAAAGCCACGAATCCACTCCTCTGTGGGAGGACAGGATTGCCTGTGTAGCTTACTGCCTCTGAGACCCATCAGAGGGTCAACTGTGGGCCGGTTCTGACTCAATGACATAACAATAACGGCATATTACTTCTTTCTCCAAGAGAGCAGTAGTGTCTAGTGAAAAGAGCTGCACTACCAACCCAAAGGCAGGCAGTTCAAATCCAGCAGCTACTCCAAGGGAGAAAAGTGGGCAGTTTTCCGCTGGGTGATTTACAGCCTCTTAAAACCTGCTCAACATGCAACTGTGCACGGGCCCTGACTTGATGACACATCGTAAAAACTATTACTTTCTCGGCTGTCGTTTTACATGTGTCATCAAACAGCATGCAAAAAAGGCAATGCAAACGGTAATCTTAAAAAGATACAAGACAGCTTATCTTCAGTATTTCTGGCGACACCAGTCTATTGGATGCCATCCATGTGCTGGGTACTCTTTGGCTAAAAACAGTACACAAAGCAAACAAAATCCTTGCCTTCATAGAAGTTACATTTGAGCTAGGGAGGCAGAGGATGACTGTGAAGGAAGAAGACAGACAATAGAAGAAATAGTACAATCTAACCACCATGTGCAGTAGGAAAATGTGAAGCAGAGTGAAGGACGGGGCGTGAATGTGTGCGGGGATGGTGGAACAGCCCCTTTGGCCAGGCTTTCTATCTGCAAGAAGGAAATTTTGAGCAGGGAGGCCAGCTGGTGAGAAGGACTGAGGTGAGTGCATGCCTGATATGCACCATGGACAGCCAGGAGTCCAGTGTGTCTACACATACAAATGGCATGATACTTTTCCTGATTTGTGCTTTTGTGTCGCCTTGACTTTGCACTATTAAATAGCTTTGGGGTTTTTAGCACTGATATCTTAACATTTATTATATTCTTATTTCTTTGACCTATGAATTAGAAATTGTTTTTAATTGTACAGATGTGAAAGTGAAAATTTTTTAGAAATGTATTTCTATAGAAAAACCTCTGTTAACATCAGTGTTAAGATGATTTTACATTATGTGTAACGTGAGATGACTCACTGAAGATACAACATCGCTTGCTTACATGGTACTCCTGCCAAAAATGCCTAACTTGAATCCACTCTTGATTTAACGTGGAAGCAGATCAGCATGAGCCAAGTGCAAGACATGATCCAGGTGGGGGCGGAGGGGAATGCAAGCTAAACTCTTAGTATAAAGAGCTTTTTTAAGACAATAGCTGATATTGAGTAATATAAATGTATTCCAATAGTGCTAACTTCCTGATTCGATGACTGCTGTGATTATTACTTAGAGACTTAATTCCCTTGGGATTCCACCCTGGGATGTTTAAGACTTTAGAGACACAAGTTTCAGGTAAACTATGAATAGAGAAAATGGTAACGCAAATAGAATGAAATGTTAACATCTGGAGGATCATTGTGAAGGGTATTCAGGAATTCTCTGTACTGTTTATGCATATTTTATGTATATAGGAAATTTCCAAATAAAAAGTTAAAACACTTTCTGTTGCTGATTTTTATTTATTTTTATTTTTTTCTGTTGCTGATTTTGAGCCAACTGCACCATGGTCGATAAATACGGTGAATATGGTAGTTTGTACCGAGTTACAGCCTTGGTCTCAGTTTTGCAATGAGAACTGTTTTGTAACATGGGGAGAATAATCTCATCTATCATGATTTTTTTTAAATAAGTTGTATTCCTTACTGTGATTTCATAAACATTTCTTTTATGACATTAATTACAGTACCCACAGTGTAGTGACACTCTTCCCACTTCTTCCCTGCGGTTCTCATTTCCACTACTCCTCCTGTCGTCCCCCCCCCGCCTTTTATGCTGTATCCCTGGGTAAATATTGTCCTTCCGGTGGTTTGCATTTTCTATGGAGTGACTACCTCCTGGGAGTGGTGACTGTCTTTTGGTCCCGTGGCCGTGGTGGTGGTGGTCTGTGTGGCCCCCTTAGTCCTCTGGGCTGATTGTGTCTGCATCCCTGCTCTTCTTCCCTCATTGTTCGTGACAGGGAGAGGCCAGTAGTAGCTCTGTCAGCTATTAGATGACTGCTTGTTAAGACCCTAATCACTATTCATCAAATTAAACTAGAATTATCTTTATGGTCTGTTTTACTAATTATCTCCCCTGTGTGTATGGCCCTTTAGTATAGATTCTTGGGAGCATAAATTAATACATATAAACTGCTTAGATACCAGCCTGGCACAAAGTTTCTATATACAGATATGTATGCTGAG